TAACGAAGAGAAGGACGAGGGGGGACATGATAGCAGTGTTCCAGTATCTCAGGGGCTTCCCCAAAGAAGAGGGAGTCAAGCTATTGCCCATAGCGCCTGAAGGCAGGGCAAGAAGCAACAGATTGAAACTAATCAAGGAGAGAAGCAACCTAGAACTAAGGAGAAACTTCCTGATAGTCAGAACAATTAATCAGTGGAATGACTTGCTTTAGAAGTTGTAGGTGCTCCATAACTGGAAATTTTTAAGAAGAGACTGGAAAGCCATTTGTCTGAAAAGGTGTAGGGTCTCCTGCTTGGGATGGACTAGAAGACCTCCAAGGTCCCTTCCAACTCTCTTATTCTGTTCTGTTAATGCTGTCACACATGATCCTAGGCACTTACAGCAACCAGTCAAAAGAATCACATCAAATATTTCATATCTTTCCCCCACCTCCCTGGTGCCATAATAACCCACATTAGAGCCAATTTGGCCTAGTAGACCTCAACGTACAACGAGCCTCAATTGAGCCCCAAAATTCTGTTGCTATGTGAGACAGCTGTTAAATGAATTTTGACCCATTGTACCATCTTCCTTGCCACAGTTGTTAAGTGAATCACTGCGGCTGTTCAGTTACTAAAACGGTCATTAAGTGAACCTGGCTTTCCCCCTTGACTTTGCTTGTCAGAAGGTTGCCGGGGGGGGGGGGGAATCACACGACCTTGGGACTCTTCAATGGTCATAAATATGAGTCCCCGGCCAAGCACCTGAATTTTGATCACGTGACGCTGCAAGAGTCGTAAGCGTGAAAAATGGGAGATGCTGCAAGAGTCGTAAGTGTGAAAAACGGTCCTAAGTCACTTTTTCGAGGGCTGTTGTAGCTTCAAACGGTTACTAAAGGAACGGTTGTAAGTTGAGGACTACCCGTACTTAAGGCTCTGTTCTTCTGCAGTCTATATTTCCACAGGTTGTTTGAATTTGCTGAGGTAATTCTACCAGTAAGCGCAGATATCAGTGGGGGGAAAACATGGCTTCCTGTTTGGGATGGGGCTACGAAGGGAAAAGCAAGGGACTAAGACAGGGGTAGGCCACCTTGGCTCTTTTATGACTCGTGGACTTCAACTCCCAGAATTCCTCAGCCACATGCTGAGGAGAAATGGAGAGGTTTCCATAGTGAGCCATGCCGGCTCAGGAATTCTGGGAGTTGAAGTCCACGAGTCATAAAAGAGCCAAGGTGGCCTACCCCTGGCACTAAGATATCCTGAATAAGATATTGAAAAATGCCGGTAGGTATCTGCTCTGCTTTAAGAACAAAAAAAAAGGGGGGGTAACTTTTGAGTTTCGCCCCTTTTTGTGTGTTTCACCCCCTCCCCAATGAACACAGCCCTCTATTTATCCACAGAAGAGGCTCAAGATCCATCACCGCTTCCCAACTCCGCTTCCCCCCAGCGCCTCAGCCCAAATCTAGAGACATCTCCTCTAGGTTTGAGAAGGTAATTCCAGGTCAGAGCAAACATCCACCTGTCCCTCGGGCTCTCTTGAAGTCCGAGAAATGTCAACAGAGCTGTAAGTAACATCGTTTTTCCAGCCATCGGACGACACGGAGAGCCAGGCAAGCGCCCCTACGCGCAGAATCAGTCCAGGGAATAACTTCTTCTTCTTCTTCTTCTTCTTCTTCTTCTTCTTCTTCTTCTTCTTCTTCTTCTTCTTCTTCTTCTTCCTCCTTCTTCCTCCTTCTTTCTTCTTCTTCTTCTTCTTCTTCTTCTTCTTCTTCTCTTCTTCCTCTTCTTCCTCTTCTTCTCTTCTTCCTCCTCCTCTTCCTCCTCCTCCTCCTCCTCTTCCTTCTTCTTCTTCTTCTTCTTCTTCTTCTTCTTCTTCTTCTTCTTCTTCTTCTTCTTTTCTCTCTTTCTCTCTCTCTCAGTTTCATGGGTCTGTGGCTTTAGGTTGTCCATCTTGAAGGACGAGAGCATGTCAAGTCTTCTTGGTGAAGAAATGGTTCTGTCTAATACAGGGCTGTCGGCATGTTTATTCTTCCTTCCCTTCCCTTCCTTCCTTCCTTCCTTCCTTCCTTCCTTCCTTCCTTCCTTCCTTCCTTCCTTCCTGTTCCTTCTTCCCTTCCCCTTCCTCCCTCCATTCCTCCCTTCCCCTTCCTTCCTTCCTTCCTCCCTTCCTCCTTCCCTCCCTTTCTCTCTCCTTTTATATCCCTCCTGCCTTTTTCTTCTCTTTTCTTCTCTTTCCCTCCCCTCTCCCTCCCTCCTGCCCTCCCTTTCTCTCTCCTTTTACATCCCTCCCTTCCTTCCCCTTTTCTTTTCTTCTCTTTCCCTCCCCTCCCTCCCTCCCCCTTCCCTCCCTTTCTCTCTCCTTTTACATTCTGCCTTCCTTTCCCTTCCCTTTTCCTTCTGCCTTCCCCTCCCCTCTCCCTCCCTCCTTCCCTCCCTTTCTCTCTCCTTTTACATCCCTCCCTCCCTCCCTTCCTTCCCCTTCCCTTCTCTTTTTTTCTCTTTTCCTCTCCTCTCCCTCCCTCCCCTCCCTTTCTCTCTCCTTTTACATTCTGCCTTCCTTTCCCTTCCCTTCTTCCCCTGCCTTCCCCTCCACTCTCCCTCACTCCCTCTCTCTCTCCTTCTTCATCCTTCCCTCCCCTTCCCTTCTCCTGTGGCCCTGGAGTGCCATGGCGCTGGTGAGCTGCTTCTCTGCCATTGATTCAATCCTTCTCGGCCTGACTCTGAGGTGTTAATATTGTGGTTTCCAGTCCTTCTCACCTTGAAAGCAGAGGTGGCTGGTGTGCTTTTGATGCATTTCTCTTGTGCTCACATGCCTCAGTGGGGTCCCTTGTGGTATTGATCTACTTCTAAAGATACTTATAGAGGGGGGAAATCTTGATGTCTGAAGAAGAAAAACAGGTCAGACAAAGGTGAGAGATACGCACGCAAACCTGCAGTTGACCGGGGAAAGCAGAGGTGACGTAACTAAGGCAGGGGCCTTCAAACTTGGCCCTTTTATGACTTGTGGACTTCAACTCCCAGAATTCCTCAGTCGGCCATTTTGATGAAATTGCGGGCTTGGATCCAGACCAGGGGCCTTCAAACTTGGCCCATTTATGACTTGTGGACTTCAACTCCCAGAATTCCTCAGCCAGCTACCCAGTAGTGGGATTCAAATGTGTGAACAACCGGTTCTCTGTGTGGATGCCACTTCCGGAAGTCCATTCTGGGCCTGGCCAACAAAAAATTAGCTACCGGTTCTGCCGAAGTGATGCAAACCGGCTGAATCCTACCACTGCAGCTATCCATTCTGGGAGCTGAAGTCCCCCAGGCTTAAAGTTGTCATAGTTGGAAACCTGAGAGGTGTTAATACCACTTTACAATGCCTTGGTAAGGCCACACTTGGAATATGGCATCCAGTTTTGGTCACTGCGATGTAAAAAAGATGTTGTAGAAAGAGTACAGGGAAGAGCAACAAAGATATTTAGGGGACTGGAGGCTAAAACATGTGAAGAACGGTTGTAGGAATTGGGTCTGTCTAGTTTAATGAAGAGAAGGACAAGGGGTGACATGATAGCAGCATTCTAATATCTAAGGGGCTGCCACAAGGAAGAAGAGAGGGTCAACCCATTCTCCAAAGCACCTGAAGGCAGGACAAAAACAGTGGATGGAAGCTAATCAAGGAGAGAAGCAACCTAGAACTAAGGAGGATTTTCCTCATAGTAAGAGCAATTAATCAGTGGAACTACTTGCCTCCAGAAAATATGAGTGCTCCAACACTGGAGGTTTTTAAAAAGAGATTGGAGAACATTTTTTTTTCTGAAATGGTATAGGGTTTCCTGCTTGTGCAGGGGGTTGGACTAGAAGACCTCTAAGGTCCCTTCCAGCTCTGTTATTCTGTTCTGTTAACCTGAAGCAAGCCACCATTCTGGGGCTCCAGAAACCTGGATTTGTAGCCAAGATTTTATATTGTTACAAGTCTCAGGAAATCGAAATGGTGATTGCAAAGCCTGGATGAAGAGCTGTGCAGAATATGTACTCATTTGTGGAAGGGCTTCCATGAATGGCTTCCAAATGGGCAGGACTTCAGCTAAGGGTGACAGCCACCAAATGGACTTTTTTTTTTTTTTTTTTTTGATCCAAGTGCAGCAGTTTCTCACTCTTAGGGCCATAAGGATTGTTGGATACTTCGGGAGGGATGCCAAGATTAAGAGGGGCAGCAAAAAATGCCTTTCATTGGCTGCTCATCAGCCAGGCAACCCCCCAAAATAGTCTGCCCCAACCATGAAGAAAATATACAGGTAATCCCTGATGTACGAGCACAATTTCATGAGCACAAAATTTCCATTGCTAAATGAAGCATTTGTGAAGTGGATTTCGCCCCGTTTTTACGTGTCACAGTTGTTAAGTGAGTCCCTTTAGTTGTTAAGTTGTAAGTCAAGGACTTACCTGCATTTCATCACCCAATCAGAACAGCTATGAGAACTGGGGCATTTCATCACTCGGATCATTGAGACAATTAGATCAGAGTTACATGAAGTTACAGGAAGGTATTCGGCTTAGAGCAGTGGTTCTCAACCTTTTTAATGCCGCGACCCCCAACCGGTCGTAAGTCGAGGACTACTCAACCGGTCGTAAGTCGAGGACTACTCAACTGGTGCAGCACCGTTTGCAGAATGGGACTTTTGGCGGGCTCAGCAGGGCAGAGACAGCCTGGACAATTCCTATTGGCTTTTGAAAGCCAATAGAAGTAGACTCTATTCAAGGGAGTCTATTCTATCGGCTTTCAAAAGCCAATAGAATAAAAGGGAGTAGCACAGCCAAGGAAAAGGGGGTAAAAAATATGGCGGACTGCGTTGTTTGGCGACCCCCGTGAAATGGTCGTTCGACCCCAAATGGGGTCCCCACCCACAGGTTGAGAACCACTGGCTTAGAGGAATACATTTGCTCCATCCCAAATCAAGGGACGCCCCCAGCCTTCCAACATTGTTCTTTTCAGTCTTCAGCACTAACCAAAACGGTGTGTTCTTCTTCCCTTGCAGAGTTCCAGCGCGAAGGAAGCATTGAAACCTTGAGTAACAGCTCAGGGTCTACCAACGAGAGCATCCCACGAACCTTGGATGGTTACCGGTCCCCACTTCCCACCGAAAGCCAGCCCTTGAGCCTCTTTTCAACGGGTTTCCCATAAACCATGTTCCTGGGGGGAGGGGGGGAAGACAACTTCAGCTTAGATTGACCGACCAACCAGTCAACCTTCTACAGAAGTTCTTGATGTCCACCCAATTCAGCGGTTCCCTAAAAAAACCCACGGATGCTGGGTCTGCTTTTCGCCCTTCCGAGACTCTACGAAGAAAATGCTGCCTTTGCTTTATTGTGCAATAGGACTGGGGAGATTCTTTGCTAAGGTTTCTTCTCTTGATCTTCAAATCAGGGGTGGCTGTTTTCAAGATGCATTTTAAAGCTCCTGGCCAAAATGGGCTGTTCCTCTTTCCCCAGTCTTTCCTCTGCCTCTGCGCCAAATTGAGATTTAAACTCTGAAAGTCAGTTCATCGCTGTTTTTGTAAGACTTAAACTCGTTGTCTATCTCTGGTGTGTTTAGAAAAAAAGGTCCCTTGCCTCAGAGTTGTTGGTATCTTTGCAAATCTCTGAAGCGTCAACCGTTGGGGGTCCTTGATGGCCTCTGAGCTTGGTGGTTTTCTTTCAGACCTTACATTTACCAAACTAGGCAACGAGCACTGATGATGTTACCTAGTTTGGTAGTGAAACGTCTGCAAGAAAACCACCAAGCTCAGAGAGCTCTCAGGACCCCTCAGTTCAACCCTGTGCTACAAATATTCTCAAATTCAGATTAGATTCAAATGATTACAAGAAATCCTCAAATCGGCCTTGCATTTGACATCTCTGTGCTTTGTTCCCTGGCAATTAAAGCCAGCTATATTACATGCAAAGGAGTTTTTTATAATTATTTTAATTTTATTTCATTTTTTTCCCTCTTTCTTTCCCGGGAAGAATAACCTTTGATTTTTTTTTTCCCTTTTGTTTTAGAAATAGACTTCATTGAATGATAATTCAAACTGTAAATTTCTTTCATTTGGGTATTATGTTGTTTATTGGAACTCCTCCTGTCTGTGTTAAAATGCTTGTGATGTTGAATAAACTGCTATGGCAAAACAATCGCTTTTTGCATTCTGGGGCAAAGTGGGGGGCCGGGGAAATGAGTTTGCAATAACTTGACGAAAGATAAAAGAGTAATAAGACAAATAACATGAGACAGGGAATGGGTTTTCAACCACAGGGTTAAAAATCCCATCTTTCTTATTACAGATAGTCCTCTACATACAGCCGCAACCGAGCCCAAAGTTTCTGTTGCTAAGCTAGACAGGAAAGTTGCTCCATTTTATGACCTTGCTTGCCACAATTGTTAAGTGAATCACTGCAGTTGTTAAGTTTGTGTTAGTACCACTTTATAAAGCCCTAATGAGACCACACCTGGAATACTGCAGCCAGTTTTGGTCACCATATGACAAAAAAGATGTTGAGAGTTTGGAAAAAAATCGGAGAAGAGCAACTAAGATGATCCAAGGCCTGGAGACTGAAACATACGAAGAACAGCTGCAGGACTTGGGTTTGGCTAGTTAAAGAAAAGAAGAAATAGGGGAGACATGATAGCAGTGTTCCAGTATCTGAGGGGCTGCCACAAAGAAGAGGGGTCAAGTTATTCTCCAAAGCACCAGAGGGAAGGGCGAGAAACGATGGTTGGAAACTGATCAAGGAGAGAAGCAACCTGGAATTAAGGAGAAACTTCCTGACAGTGAGAACAATCAATCAGTGGAACAGCTTGCCTCCAGAAATCGTGAGCGGTCCATCACTGGAGGTTTTTAAGAAGAGGTTAGACAGTCACTTGTCTGAAATGGTATAGGGTTTCCTACCTGAGCAGGGGGTTGGACTAGAAGACCTCCAAGGTCCCTTCCGACTTTTATTATTATTATTATTAGTTTGAAGCCGCCTGTCTCAAATGAATCTCTGCTCTCTTGGGGGGCACTTCAGATATGCCTTCACCTTGACAAGAGAAGCCTTATCATTCTGCCCACCCCCCACCCCTGTCGCCCACCTACTCCCAGCTCTTATCAAGGGCTCCTTTGATAGCTGGCCAGCTGGAGAAGAGGGCAAAGCGCATCGGCAGCCGGGTCATCAGCCTGGAGTGTGACAGTCACCCCCAGTCAGGGGCCAAAGCCTGCAACCCCTCCCTCCCTCTCTAGTCCTTGCTGGCCACTTCAGCTTTGCAGATAGACTTGGAGTGGGGAGGGAGACGTTTATCCAGAGGAGTCGTTCCGTTCAGCCAAGCGCTGGTTTTGGACTTCCCCAGCAAAGGCCCACATTTATTTTTGTCATATTTGTGTAGTGTATAATATTGGAGGTGGTGACCCTTTTAGAGCTGTATGCAATGAAATTTCATTTTAATGTATGCTGATTAGCGTACATTCAAAGTGACAGTAAAGTTGTTTCTGTTCTATTCTATTTATATTCTAATATTTCATTCTGTTCTATTCTATTTTAATATTATTTCATTCTATTCTTGTTCTATTCTACTCTACTCTATATTCTATTCTATTCTACTATCCTATCCTATCTTATCCTATTCTATTTATATTCTAATATTTCATTCTGCTCAGTTCTATTTTAATATTATTTCATTCTATTCTTATTTTCTACTCTATATTCTATTCTATTCTATTCTATTCTATTCTATTCTATTCTATTCTATTCTATTCTACTCTACTCTACTCTACTCTACTCTACTATCCTATCCTATCTTATCCTATTCTATTTATATTCTAATATTTCATTCTGCTCAGTTCTATTTTAATATTATTTCATTCTATTCTTATTCTATTCTACTCTACTCTATATTCTATTCTATATTCTATTCTATTCTACTCTATATTCTATTCTATATTCTATATTCTATTCTACTCTACTGTATATTCTATATTCTATTCTATTCTACTATCCTACCCTATCCTATCTTATCCTACTTATATTCTAATATTACATTATACTCTATTCTATTTTAATATTATTTCATTCTATTCTTGTTCTATTCTACTCTACTCTATATTCTATTCTATATTCTATTCCATTCCATTCTATTCTACATTGATCAGTCCCAGCAAGCAAGTAAGAAAAGGGTGTGTGTGATTTTTTTCTGGATGCTTTAAGCTTCTGCAGCGATTGGATTCAAGGGTGGAAATCCTCCAGAGGAATGTTTGGGAATATCAGCCTTTGGGATTTCCGAGCGGTGTGGATTTATAAGGCAAAGGAAGGGGACTTGAGTTTCCCCCCCAAAAAAGGCCAAGGAAGAGAATGGGAGGCAAATGGTCCCACGTTGGTTGGTTTTATTGCTAGCAATTGAAATCAAGTTAGAACCACCAGGAATAACGCAGAGATCTTTATTTCAAACGACTACAATGTGGAAAGAAAAAAGGGAGAAGGTTTATACATGGGAAGAAGCAGTAAGAAGGTCAGCACAAATATAATTCTTATAACTATGGAGAGATAGTTTTGGAGTGATCATTGGGAAAACAAGGGGGAGGGGAGAGCGGAGGGGGAGGGAAAGAAGGAATAGAAAGGAAAGAGGAGGAGAGAGGATGGGAGAAGAGAGGAGGAGGATAGGAAAGGAAAGGAAAGGGAAGGAAAGGAAAGGAAAGAAGGGAAATGGAAGGAGGAGAGGAAAGGAAAGGAAAGGAAAGGAAAGGAGGGAAATGGAAGGAGAGGAAAGGAAGGAGAGGAAAGGAAAGGGAAAGGAAAGGAAAGGAAAGGAAAGAAGGGAAATGGAAGGAGGAGAGGAAAGGAAAGGAAAGGAAAGGAAAGGAGGATGGGAAAAGGGGAAAGGAAAGATATTCATGTGGTATTCCAGTCCATAAACACACACAAATAATATATACACACACACAATCAAAATACTAAAAACATTTTAAAACATTTTTTTTACAAAATAGAAACATCCCAAATAAATAAATACACACAGCAGCCGAGATATCTGGCCACTTAGCAATACAGCCAGGGAACGGGGGCCGGTCCCCGACATCTTCAGCATCCCCAGCACAGCAGCATTGCCAGGTTTTTTGGGGGGGCCTTGCAAAAGGATAACACGGTGGGGCCCATTCTAATCGTCACCTCAGGGAGGATAGAGTTCCTTTTGAGCAGGGGCCACTGCAGAAAAGGCCCCGTCTTCTAGTCCAGGAGTCGCCAACCTTGGCAACTTTAAGACCGGTGGACTTCAACTCCCAGAATTCCCCAGCCAGCATGGCTGGCTGGGGAATTCTGGGAGTTGAAGTCCACCCGTCTTAAAGGGGCCAAGGTTGGGGACCCCTGTTCTAGTCCCCGTCAGCTGACACGCATTGGCTGACAGGATCTGCATCTTTTCCTTCACCTGCATTACAAAAGAGACATCCGGAGTTGTGAGACAACTGGAAAAAGTCACCCTGGGAACTGACAAATCCTCTGGATTGTTCTCAAGCAGTGCTGCCGTTTGTTTGCACACCGGCTTAAATCCGGCAACGGGGTCTGTCCCTGTTCACGAAAACGGAAATCTGCAGATCTCTGTACTTCCCCCTGTGGAAAGAAGCAATAAGAAGGGACAGTGTTGATATAACATTATTGACACCAGTTACTGTTATTAATTACGGAGTCTTTGGTGGTGCAGTGGTTAGAATGCAGAATTGCAGGCCAATTCTGCTGACTGCTGACTGCCAGCAGTTCGGCAGTTCGTTCCTCACCAGCCCAAGGTCAACTCAGCCTTCCATCCTTCCGAGGTTGGTAAAATGAGGACCCAGATGGTTGGGGAAAACACACTGACTCTGTAAACCGCTTAGAGAAGGCTGTAAAGCACTGTGAAGCAGTATATAAATCTAAGTGCTATTGTTATTCTTCCTTCCTTCCCTCTTTCCCTTCCTTCTTTTTGTCCCTCTCTTTTCTCCTTCCTTCCTTCCTTCCTTCCTTCCTTCCTTCCTTCTTTCTTTCTTTCTTTCTTTCCCATGGTGGTGCTCTGGTCAGAATGCAGTATTGCAGGCTGACTCTGCCCACTGCCAGCAGTTCGATCCTGACCGGCTCAAAATTGACTCAGCCTTCCCTCCTTCCGAGGTCGGTAAAATGAGGACCCAGATTGTTGGGGGCAACAGGCTGATTCTGTAAATCGCTTAAAGAGGGCTGTAAAGCACTGGGAAGCGGTCTATAAGTCTAACTCTAAGTGCAATTACCATTGCTTGCTTCCATCCTTTCCTTCTTTCTCTCCCTCCCTTTTCTCCTTCCTTCCTTCCTTCCCATGGTGGCGCAAGGGTTAGAATGCAGTATTGCAGGCTGACTCTGCCCACCGCCAGGAGTTCGATCCTGACCGGCTCAAGGTGGACTCAGCCTTCCGTCCTTCCGAGGTCGGTAAAATGAGGACCCAGATTGTTGGGGGCAAATAGGCTGACTCTGTAAACCGCTTAGAGAGGGCTGTAAAAGCACTGTGAAGTGGTATATAAGTCTAAGTGCTATTGCTGTTGCTATATTCATTGTTCATTACTCTTTTGATTATTCATTAGCTTTAGTAAGAACTTAATTACAGGAGGTCCTTGACTAACAGCCATTTGTTTAGTAACTGTTTGAAGTTACAACAGCACTGAAAAAAGAGACTTGGGAACGGTCCTCACACTTATGACTGTCACCACATCCCACAGTCATGTGATCAGAATTCAGCCACTTGGCAACTAGCATGTACTTATGACGGTTGCAGCATCTAAGGCACATGTGATCACCTTTTGTGACCTTCCCAGCCGGCTTCCAACAAGCAAAGCCAATGGGGGAAGTTGGATTCCCTTAACAACTGCAGTCATTCGCTTAACGAATAGATGGCAAAAAGGTCATAAAACTGGATGGGTGTGACTCAATTGCCTTGCTTAGCCATGTTAATTCTAGTCCCAGTGTTGGCCATAAGTCAAGAGCTATCTGTAATTTGTGTGTGTGTCTGTGTGTCTGTGTGTGTGTGTCTGTGTCTGTATGCATGTGTGTCTGTGTGCATGTGTGTTCATGTGTGTGTGCATGTGGGTGCATATGCATGTGTGCATGTGTGTGCATGTGCATGTACATGTGTGTGTGCATATTTATTTATTTATTTATTTATTTATTTATTT